TAAGAAACGTTTTCTATATAGCAAACCTTAATAATTTATGTAATATATCATATGTAACACACATTGTATTTAATTACATTTTCTACGTATTTCAAGTCTACTTAAGTAATGACATTCCTTTCCTTCTCAAGACATTAAATAAACCCTTGGATCTTAGAGATTCTGTATTGCCCGTCCTCGCAGTCAGGTATTGCTGCTTCTGCAATGGCAGTGAACCCAGCTGCAGGAATGATGCCCAGAAGGAAAAACAAGTCAGCTCCCATGACACGGGGCTGAACTTGAATTTCCAAAACTGTGAACAGAAGGATAGTGTCCGAGATTTCAAGCCCTTGTGAATGGATACAGGATGGCTTCTCCTAGAGCTCCTATCCCTTTCAAGGATGATCAGTTAGAAGCTGGTGATGAAACTGTGGGCAGGACCCCACGCAAGGTGACAGCCCCACAGTGACAATTTAACCAGTCTACAGCTACAACTAGGGGATGCTTGCCCTCCTGTGATGGTATTGCAGCCTCAAAAAAGAGGGTCAGTGAGCAAAGAGGAGTGGGAAGCAGGCTCTGCTGCCAACGTGCTCTGTTGGGGGCCCTACACACGCACACATATGTGCATACACACGTACAGCAGATGCACGTGTTGTGACAGGAATATTAAGAGTGTCCAAGCATCCTCATACCTGCCAAACAAAAGGAAAAGAAAACCCTATCTTAAGTTTGTGTTCCTTTTATTAACTGCAAGGCTTAGAAGAATTCTAATTGGAAAAGAAAGGTTAGTGTTGTTATATCTGATAAAAGTGACCTTTAGCCAATGAGTGGTTTATGTTTTTCTGATGCAAGACAGAAAGTCTGTCTGGAGGGCAGGTGGCATTTTTTTTTCATCTATTCTAGGTGACATTTATGCCTTGAACCTTTCCATTTGACGGGTGCCAGGAAGCTCACAGGAAGGAATCTTAAACCAGTTATGAAACTATCTCCCTCTCTCTACAAATACCCAGGTGGGAGAAGTTGATCAACTAAAAAGTATCCTTTGAGGTTCTATCTGTGCTAAGGACTGTGCTAGGCTCTGGGGCTCCAGAGGTGACAGGGCAGATGTGTGTTCTGGCCTCACAGAGGGTAAGAGCCAGCTGGGAAGACAGACATCGAGCCAGAGTATATGAGTGATGTGAGTCACCAAGGAGATGCGACCACCAACGCCCATGACAGGTCTGGCCTAGGGAAGGACCCTGAAGAAGGCCTTCCCGGGGAAGGATGCTGAGGCTGAGAAAGCATCCAGCAGAGGGGGCAGTTGGACAGACACAGCACTGGGTGGGACAGAGGCCAGCATGCTAGGTAAACAGAGAGGTCAGTGTGGTGAGTGGGGAGCAAAGCTGAGGGGAACATGGGACCAGCCAGCACATGCCGAGTCCTGCAGAATGCAGGAAGAGTTTTGTGCTTGGGTCCAAGAAGTGTGGGTAGTCATTAAGGGCTTAAAGCCAGGGTGGTGACATGCTCATAACTTGGCTACTGAGTGGAGAGTGGACTACGGGCGTGTGTGGAGGCGGAGAGCCCTGGGCTGTGGCCACAGTCTCGGCAACAGATGATGGTGGCTTGAGTCAGGGTAATAGCAATGGAAACAGGAATGAGGAGTTTAGAAGGCAGAAGAGGTAGAACTTGGTGGTGGACTTGATGGGGTGGGTGGGGTTAGGGAGAGGAAGGAATCCTGGTCCCTCCCAGGAGGACACTGATGTCATTTTCTGGGACAGGCTGCAGTGGAGGGGAGGCAGAGAGGGGCAAGGAGGGAGTAGGGGGAGAACCAGAGCTTGTATGGGACACAAATCACCTGGGAGATATCCAAGAGGAGATGTCAAGAAGGCAATGGACTTGGAACTCAGCAGCGGGTCTAGGTGGAGCCACACACTTGGAAGCCTCAGCCAGGGAGGTTGGCTGATGCTCTGGGCGTGAGTCAATTTCTAGGAGGAGCAGAGGGCCTAGGGCAGGGCTGTGCATCCTGCTCCTATAGCAGAGTTGCTGGCAGAAGATTGAGAAGGAGTTGTCAAGGGGATGAGAAGAAAAAGATGGTGTTCTGCAAGCCAAGAAAGGAATGTTTTAGGAAGAAGGGGTTGGGCAACTGTGCTGAATGTGGCTACAAGTTATCTTTCTGACAAAACCCGACTCTGTCACCCTCTTGATTACAAACCTCACCACTGCCCCAAGAGTGTAAATTTCTTGTGGAACACCAGGCCTCTCACGCACTGCTGTCAATATACCTCTCCAGATGCGCCTCCCATAACTTCTCCCACCCCAGTGAAGTCTGTGCTCTGGCCACATTGGTGTAGCCTCCACCAACACTGTAGTGGGTGTGTGTCTTTGCTGTCCAGCACTCATTCTCTCAGGTGTCAGTTCTTGTCTGGAGAGCTACTGCATTCCCACCTTCAGCCCCTGTAGTTGTGAGATCACCATCTGCAGCTTTTGGGGTGGGGTATGTGGCCAGGCAGATGATGACAAGTGCATCGTTCTCCCCCCCGGCAGCAACTGGTTAGGGGTGGGGGTGGGGCAGGAAATGTGATTAAGTTGGTCTGACCAGAGTGAATCTTCTGGAAGTTCTGGGAGAAAGAGCTCAAGAGTCCAGAAGGACATGGACCTAGGAGTGCGGGCAGCCATTTGGTGACCATGAGGAAAGCTGATCTGAGAATGAGGTCAACACATGAAGCTGAGCAGAGCCGAGAGACAGAGAACCTGTCTGTCTGAATTCCCGTTGTGAGCCAGACTATAAGCCAGGATACATCTGAACTTTTAAGTTGTGGAAACCAATGAATTTACTTTCCTTTTAATTTTTGCTTAGGGTCAGCTTTTCTATGACTTGCAGCAGAATCAACCCATGAGTCCTAACTGGCACATACATGCTATTCCTGTTACTTAGACAGCTGCTCCGCTTCTCCCTCTGGAACATTTAATTGGGACTCCTTGGTGCAGCCTTTTCCACCTCCTGGGGGAACTCCATGTCTCCCTCCCACCCCGAGCCCGGCGTTGTCACATGTTCACTGGGGTTTACCCGTCTACCTTCCCCACTGGCCCCAGCATAGGGATTGTGTCTTGTTCACTTTTATAACCCTGATGCCTCAATGTCTGGTCCACAAGAATAACTGATCAAATGTTTTCTGAATGACTCTCTGAATGAATGAATGAACAAATGAATTATAAGCAGAGGCTCAATATAAAGAGATAGGAAGATACTGAAGAAAGAGAAAAATGGTTAAATAACCAATAAAAACTTAAGTGTATTATCTTCAGTGCTGGCCAAGTACATTTTCAAAATGTCATTATTTTGATTATGAAAATGGCCTCTCAAAAATATAAAATAAATAAAGCATGTCCTTGCTCCCAGATGGAATAAACTCATTTAGCTGTGTTACATCAGAATAACTCCACAAAATCTGGTATTCAAAGTACATTAGGTCAGGTTGGCTGATTTTTCCATAATTATTTTAAATGTTCACCATCTACAGAATTTCATTCCAAACCCAAACAGTCCACAGCACTTAATGAGCAGGTTCCAATGCCCGGGCCCAGGACCGGCTGCTGGCTTCAGTGCTATGCTGGGTCATCATTAGATGTCTCCGGAAGACATCCGGAGCAAGCCGCTGTTACCGTGGTAACAAGCACAGGAAAGAAAAGGGTGGCTGTCAGATATAAGATGAGGATTATGTACAGAAAGCGCTCACAAGCCACTAAGGAAACAACAGAGGCTTCCTCAGTTAAGAATGACCACATGACATTCACATGCTAAAAACTGAGTGTTGAACATCCAATAAGGAAATAGACAAAAGCCCATTAGTCCTGTGCCAACCGAGAAGAAAATGCAGCACTTGCCACCTCCACTATGTTTTAACTAAGTATGTATCTATACGTACACATACATGGACCAGAATAGAAACCCAGTGAGATATGCAGAATAGGCAACACGGAGCTCGGCGTGGCACATACTCGACATACAGTCCTCTCAATCCGTGCTTGGAGTTCGAAATGCTTATTAAGTAAACTCTACAGGCAACAAAACCAAAAGTAAAACAGTGGGACTATATCAATCTAAAAAGCTTCTACATAGCAAAGGAAATAATCAACAGAGTGAAAATGAAACCTATGGAATGGGAAAAAATATTTGCAAACCATATATCTGATAAGGGGTTAATCCTCTAAATACATAAGAACTTGTATAAGTCACCCAATATAGCAAAAAAAAATCCCCTAATAACCTAATTAAAAAATGGGTGAAGGACTTGAATAGACATTTCTTTAACGAAGATCTACAAATGGTAACAAGTACATAAAAAATGCTCGATATCACTAATTATCAGGGAAATGCAAATTAAAACCACAACGAGCTATCACCTTGCACCTGTTAGGATAGCTATTATCAAAAAACCAAAAGACGACAAGTGTTGGTGAGGATGTGGAAAAACTGGAACCTTGTACGCTGTTGCTGAGAATACAAAATGGTGCAGCCACTGTGCAAAACAGTATGCTGCCTCCCTTAAAAATTAAAAATAAAACTACCATATGATTCTGTAATCCCACTCCTGAGTATTTACCCAAAAAAACTGAAATCAAGATCTCAAAGGAATATTAGCACTTCCATCTTCATTGCAGCATTTAAGAGAGTAGATCTCACGTTACGTGTTCTTACCACAATAAAATGATAATTTTTAAAAACTCTACAGAGACTTTTTTTAGTGGTAAGTGTCTAATGATCTTACTACTAGATTCGAAATTAAGGCAGGTTTATGGATATGTCTCTGTTAACTTAGCAGTGACTGGGGCTTTCAAAGATGCTTTATATACTTTTCTAGTTTGGAAATCTAGGATGGATCATGATTTTAAATTCCTTGTTACTCCTGTCAGTAATTAGTTGTCAGAACTGAAAATATTCATGAATGACCAGGACGCAGAATACAGGAAACCCAGTGCAAAGGCTGAAAGAGGAAATGAACGAACAGCAGAGTGCCGCGGGATTTCTATGCTGGTGGTACCTTATCCGATTTTCCTCGTCGTTCACCAAGAAGAACCAGCGGAACTTCACAACCAAGGGGCTGCAGTTGGTGATTGTAACGTAGCGAATGACCTCAGTATCATTCAGGATACAGCCGAAATCCAGCTCCGTCGTCTCGAAGCTGAGGTTGGGGTAATGCACCTCTCCACGCAGGTTCAGGCTGTCTACCTGAGGGTGTTCCACATACTTAATTTCTAGTATTTCTTCCGCCACCCAGTTATTCAAATCGTTTCTGTAGAAAGGGTCAAACTTGATCAGCAGGTTTTTTTCTTCATCAATGTCCAGTTTAATAGGCTACGAACAAGATAATGGAAAATTACGAACTTTTGTACTATGCATTTCCAACCTGACACATGAAACAGGATAACCAAACTTATTTATATAGATTTATGTACACACAGATACATACACACACATACATATTAGTATAAAATCTGTATATAAGCACACATACATAATTAAACAGCTAGTACCTATAAGTACAGATATGTACATATATGCAAACACATGTCATTAGCTGAAGATGAAAGCAAGGAGACTCTGGAGAAGAACTATTTGAAGGAAGAGATTTTGATAAGAGTCGTGTGGGGTTATAAGAATTCTTAACTGAAAATAAATTAGATTGTGAAATGATCTTCCTAGACAAGTGGGAAAAGTTCTTTGCTTAAGAAAATTTAAAAAAGGCTTTCTAAAGCACTGGGGTCTCTGTAGAGAGTGACCCAGAAAGGGACAGATCTTTTCCAATGTCTGCAATCCAAACTTTTAAGCACAGTGCTATCTACTTTCCACTGTTTTCTATTCAACTTAAAATGACAGTCGACAGCTGTACAGAGTGTGTTCGGTAGATTTTGTTTGTTCTTTTCTCTCTTTGATTCACATCCCCATGTGTTCCTCGATGCTCGTGTCTGCAGTAACACCTTCCCCGGGAAGGGCTGGCTATGAGTGAGCTTTTTTAGGCATTGCTCAATTCATTTAATGGGCACGAAAGCCGCCTCGTGGTTTTGCAGCAAGTGCCCTGAGGCAGTCGGGAAGAACTCGCGCAGGAATGAATCTGTTTACAGGGCGCCTCTTCTTTCCAATGGACTTAAACAGTTCGGGTATTTAACTGTGCACTTCAGTGACACGATTTGATGATTTCAGTTGATAAAGCCAATCACCTGATTCAACAATCAGAGAAAGTCATGACTCTTCAGTTGGCCTAATCCCGTCTGAAAGCCAGCCCAGCCACCTATCCTTTGACTTTACCGCTGGCACGCGTGGCCAAGCACAATGGAGAACCCATCCCTGTAGACTGTGGTATCTATAGCACTTGATATCACAATGCTTGGTGTCTCAATGTTTTGAAGATTGACTTGAATTTTTTTTCCAGAGGAATGACTTGGTTTGTAGAAATAAAAAATTACGTTAAATATAAAAGCACAAAGAAGAAATTAGAAATTCATCCAAAATTTTACCATATATTATTTCTCAGAGTTAACATTTGGTAAATGTTAGTCCAGACATGATAGAGGGATAATAGAATTTTACAAAAATGGAATTAGACTACACTATTTTCTAAAAAATATTTGAATTTTTTTTCTCAAAAAAAATCCTGAAGAAGTTTTTCTTACAAAAGGGATATTAATTCCTAAGATTAAGGACTCTAGAGCCAGACTTCTTGGGTCCAAATCCTGGTTCTGCCAGTTACTAGCTGTGTGACCTTGGGCAAAACACAGGACCTTGGCTTCTCCATCTATAAAATAGGGATAATAATAGTACCTACCTCTTTTTAAAAGGTTGTCATGAGTAATTATGTGTGTGAGGTGTTTCAGGGCAGTGCCTTACATGTAGTGTGTGGTATATACATGTTAGTTATTACTATTTTCCCTTTACAGTCAAGGAAAAAGATGGTTAAATATAAAGCAGTTTCAACTTTGGAAATCTCTTATTGACACCTGGCTGTAAAAGGGGGTGACACCAGCACACTTATGCTTCCCCCTGCTCCCAATTTTTATTGGCTATAGTGAAGTTTAAAAAGCTGAGGTTTAAAACATTCTGCTCTGAAGTGCTAACTGCCAAAGCTGTGTAGTCTCAGTTGTATAATTAAATGAACTGAGTCCTCCTGTCAGTCTTTTCCTCACAGTTTTTTCATTCCCAAGCACCTTATTTGATTCTTCTGGATGGTTGGATTTCACTGGCAAATTGGTTTTTCAAGGGTGTGTGAATGTTGTATTACTCAATGTTTCCTTGTGTCCTGAGAGGGCCTGTCTGTTACTGTTGTACTCAAAGGATACTTTGGCTGGTTATAAAATTCTTGGGTCACACTTTCTTTCCCTCAATACTCTGTAGTCATTGCTCTGCTGTCATCTGGCATTAAGTGTTATTGTGGAGAAGTCTGAGGTTAGTCTAAACTCTAAAATATTTCCTTGATAGGTCTTTTCCTTTGGTTATCAGTAAGTCCTGTAACTTCACTGAGACATGTTTCACTGTTGAATATTCTATATTATTTTGTCCTAGGACAAGTGTGGCCTTATTTCAAAAAATCTTTTAAAAGTAAGTTCATTTATATTTGGAATAGATAGAACAATAAAAAAGAAAGTCATCCTGTGCCCTTCTCCCCAACTCTTACCTAAGCCAACTAGTTTCCCTCCCCTGAGGCAACCAAGGTTAAAAGTGTCTTGCGTATCCTTGTAGATTTATTCTATGGATATAAAATCATATTTGTATATGTATTATTTAATTTTTCACAGATATGATAGCACGCTGTTCTGCATTTCACTTTTCTCACTGGGAGACCACTCAATATCATTGCATGTGGAGCTGCTTCATTCTTTCCAGTAGCTGTATTTCATTCCATCATGTGATTCTGCCATCATTTATTTAGCCAATCTCCTACTGATGGATATTGGTTCCCAATCTTTTCCTCTTATAATCAACACTGCAATGAATATCCTATATGTATGTCATCTTGTATATTGTGTCTATGTCTGTAGGATAAAGTCCTAGGAGTGGAATTATTATACTAGGTCGAAGGGTATGGGCATTTAAAATCTTGATAACTATTGCCATATTGCCTTCCAGTGTATGGCACCCAACACTGTAGGAAACTGCCTGATTCCACATGCCCTCCCTGACACATGGCACTTTCTACTTTTTTCTCTCTGCCAATCTGATAGGTTAAGAAAATGCATTTCATACATAGTAATTTTAATTTGTACTTCCTCTAATATGATGTTTAGAAGTCATCTAATTTTCCTTTCTGTGAACTCTCTGTTCATTTCTTTTGCCTATTTTGCTATTTGGTTGTTGGTATTTTCCTTGTTAATTTGTAGAAGTTCTTTATTTTCTAAATTATATGTGTGGTTTTCTTAAAATTATAATATAAGAAATAGTTATAAAATGATATAAATATATACCAAATAATATAAAATATAAAAAGGTGAAACTATAAGAATTATTAAGAAACAGTAGTTCCTGACCTGCCCTGGTCTACTGAACCATTTGCTTGGGCAGAGAGGGTACAGTCAACCTGTGGACACACCCCAAATACTGAATGAAGAACGAGGAGGGCTTATTCCAGGGTATCAACACTGACAGCACTAGAAGCATTAGATTTACCCAGACATTTTGACCAATTTCTCTGAAGAAGAGTATTATTTTTGTCTTGGGATAAAAGCCAGCTCTCCACACTTTCTGGGTAGGGTCTGTCACACATAGAATGCCTCCATTTTCAGCTCTTTCCTCAGAGTTGCTGCCTCTGAGCCAAGAGCTACTCTAGAGCCCACTGGACAGAACTCCTTCATCTTTTACAATTTCATTCGAACATTTTCTGGAATGCATATTTATGTGCCTTTTTTTTAGCCTACTCCAATCCTCATTCTCTCATTCTATCTTCTAGAAGTTAGCTTAAATTTCTCATTATTTGGTCAAGTCCATCCTCCTTCCCCTTTATTTTAATGCTTTGGGTTCCTTCTCTTGAAAATTTCTACTTTTATCCTATTAAGATCTCAGGAGGGACAAGAGTGGGCCTAGTCTACCACCCAGGCTGAGAAAGGCGCTCATATCTGAATCATTTTCTCATCCATTTGTTTTCCTGTGCTCTGTGAGTTCAGTTTTCATCTCTTTGAACACTCAGATCTCCTCCTTAAGCTCTTTCTAAAGACAGGTCATATCATCTAACTCCTTTGAGACTATACAGAACTACCTGTTTGTACCTTTAGTCTTCTTCCTTGGGTTACATTCCCTTGCAGTATGCTTTCATTTGCCTCTTGCTTATGACCATTTCCTCCTTTTCTTTCTCTGCTCAAAGACCTTAACTGTTTTTTTCCCCAGCTTGTGCTTGAATGAGACCCACTCATTCAAAGAACCTGTGGGGAGGAGCAGGTGACAGCGACAGCATAGTTTGCAGCTTCCACTTGGGTACTGTCTGGACACCCTCTCACCAAGTGCCCTCTCCCCGCTCTCCCCCAAAGATCTACCACCCTGAGTGTGGCTCACAGCAAATATTCTTAAGTCACAGGCTCCCTATTCTGAGATCTCACGACTGCTGCCTGTCCCTCTTCCTCTTTGTGCCGCTTCCCCACTAGCTGACTCCCTAGAGCAGGAGGCTGAGCAAAATGGTGTTTTCTCCTTCACTCCTCCTCTCCTACAGCTCTGCAGTGTCGCTGGCCCATGGCCCAGCCATTTCCACTGGTGTCCTTACACCTAGCAAAGGATCATGGGGACGATCTTGCAGGGCTGTTTAGAGAACGCTGCATGCTGTCCTAGACTGGTGGCCAGGGTGAACTCCCAGTTGCCTCCCTCAGCTTGGTTCAGATTTCTCAGTATTTGGAGGAGGGCTTGCTGCTTTGGGGACTGGGCTTGGCTATTTCTTCATTTCTTTGTGTATAGAGTTTTGATTCGATTTGAGTGGGGAGAAAAAAATCTTTACTATCATTAGTAGAAAGTCACTGCTTTCTGTAGATTGGCTTCATTATAGTGGGCAGGAGTGAAAGGGTTATCACAATGAGCTGGAAGTTCTCACACCATTAATGATAGTGTTTCTAATGATTGATACTCATTTTATTACTCATTTTAAATTTTTTGTGGTCTTTTCTGTTCGTTTCCTTTGGAACCTTTATATTTTTCTGAATTCAAGTTAGGTGGTGTATTGTTATTATTCTCTTCCTTTTCCACACGCACAACCCCCCAGGAGCTTGTTAGGACAGACCCTGTGGAAGTACCTGAGGAATGGCGGGCAGCAGGGATTTATCAGTCTCGCATACAAAGAAGGGTCCTGAGGTTGACAGCAACATGTTTACGGGCAAGGTGGAAATGTTCTTTATGACCAAGGGCTGGTAATCTGGTTCCAGCATAGCATTAGGTTTCTGCAAAAAAGGAAAAATAGGAAACAAACCATGTCATAGTAAATATAGTGAGCCTTTAGTAAGGAAAGTCTCATATTCATTATTAACAACAAATTCAATGGGCACGCATTCTCTCTCTCTCCCCCTGCCCCCGTGTGTGTGTGTGTGTGTGTGTGTGTGTGTGTGTGTGTGTGTGTGTGTATTTATTCTTTTCCCCCCTGCAGAAGTTTAGATAAATCATGTGGAATGATGTCTGGTGGACCACTAAAAAGTGGATCTCCATAGACCAGAGAACATAGGTCAGACTTTCCTTTCTTGTTGCCTAGTTGTAAAAACCTGTATGAGTCATGCTTCTGGATAAAACTATTACTATAGAAGTTTCCACAGTGTCATAAAACAAAGTCTAATAAATTAGTGATATCTTGTGGATAAATCTAGGTATCATTATAATGAATACAGCATTTTGCCCTTATATTTTTTCCATGCTTAAAATAACCAATTTGCAAATATACTTAATTTGTTATATTGACAAACGCTCATAACTATTTCCTCTAAACTTTCTGATAACACCAGGACAGTTGATTTAGAAGCATATTTTTACTCTGTTAGACATATCAGATTTAGTTTTCAACTGGAGAAGGTATCAGAAACAAATCTTGAGCCAGAAGTTCTGGCCAGACTGAAATCTTGTGTGCCCTGGAAACGGTGTCCTTTAATATTAGCAGTAGGTGACCAGAAGCCTCAATACACAGCCTCCAAAAGGAACCTCTCTCCAATCATTCCCTGGCTCTTCTAACAACTCTAGTCTGTTTTCCCCAGGCCTCCTTGTTTGGGTTTGCCTTTTCTCTTTGTTCCGATTTCAGTTAAATCCTCCTATTTCATATTTGGATCTGTCTTCCAGTTCTCTTTCCAGCACAGTCTTCCTTCCACTGTGGTTCCCGGGTCCCCTGGCCCTGGGTGAGCTTGGGTGACCAGCACCCGTTGACTCGAGCCTCCTGCCTCGGTTGTACGCCACTACCCCCGGGTACACTCTCAAGGTTATTTTAGGGGTCTGGCATGGCATTTGCCCTGAGATACTAGCCTTTGTTTCCCTCCCTTTAACATGGTAACACAGACACCAGACTCATGGTGCACCTGCAGGTTGCACGCTACAGTTTAGGGAGGGATGAAGCAGCACTTTTGGGCTTACTAAGCAACAGGCTGCATGGAGAACTGCCCACCCCAGTGACCTTCCCAGAAGGCTGCTGTGTCACTGCAGATGGCTTTGAAGTGAAGAAGCCACACTTGGCTGGTTTTGGCGAGAGGCCATTCAGAGGTTAGTGATGAAAAGTTGAAGCACTGAGAAGCCATTCTATTTTAAAATGACCTCTTCTCTTTGGGTTTTTGTCTCCCCAAATACCAGCAGACAGAATTTGCCGCCGGAACTTCATGAAGCAAACTGGCTGCTACTTTCAATTGACCTTTTCAATCCCACAGAGATGTTTCTGCGGGATTTCACCTCTGTGGCTTATGAATGGTATGATAGTTATAAAGTAGATCAAACCCGAGGAAACAGTCATAGAAAAATTCTTTCCATAGACAGGGTTGGTATCATTATGTTCCAACGCACCAAACTGGATGTACTGCCTGGAGACGAAAACAAGGAGATGGAGCAGATAATTGGGTGTCATACAATTAAATCTGAATACAGAGCAGGTCTCTTACGCATGCTGGGCAGTGAAGTTGCATTTCTTAATTGTCCCTGGTATGGATTAAATGTGAGCAGGAAATGAAAATAAACAATACAGTAGTAGGACAGATTTCAAACTTCCCATATTTGGGAGAAAAGAGAGAATGGTAGAAACAAGCAGGGAATTGTAGCTCAATTCACTTTTTGATTCAATAAGAAGTTAATGCCATATTCAAAATATTTGCCTATTTTAATCCAGTGATAACCTCAAACAATGGAGATTTAAACAAAAATATGCTTGCCCTTGTCCCCCCCACCCCCCGCCAAAGGCCTAAAGATATGAAAAGAAGAAAAGGAGTAGGAGTACTACCCACACATTTTTATGAGTGTTTATGGGCTTAGAAAAATCTAATAAGAAACTAAGCTGCATATTCAACATATATTACAATGTCACGCATGGAATAGCTATTCAATAAATATTCACTGAACTTTCTCCGAATAGCTGTATTCAGAGAAAATATGATGCAACCAAATCCAGTGCAGCTGTGGCCAATAAATATCTTTACTGATTACTTATTAAATAAAAAGGAAGAATTTAAAACAGAGTACTAAAGCTTAATAACTGTAGCAGGAACTCTTATAGTATTTTCTTTTAACACGTCTTATGGAGCTTGTTGGTGCCATGTCTTGCTTGTTAGTTGAGCTTCCCGTCGCTGAAACCCTTGTTCTATTTCTTCAATGTCCACCTTCCCTGCTCGTCAGTTAAGCCAGGGTCTTTGCTGTGTCTTTTCTGCCTTCTACAGTGTAGGTGTCTAATACTCTGTTAGGTGCTCAAAAATTATTTGTGGATTTGAACAGAACTTGTACATCTTGCCTCTCCTAACAGACTATAAGCTCCCTTATTCCTCTCCTAGCAGAACACCTTGCCCATGGTGGTGCTCAGTAGATGTTCATTTGTTTTAATGAACGAAATATAATGGAATCCACTACCGGAATGAATGGTCTTGAACATTCTCCTATAAACCTCCAAGCAACGAAAGGAACCCCAGTTGATTATCCCACGACTGCTCAGGCACTGCCACACCCAGCACTTTTATATGGCAGCATCAATCATGCTACGGGACAATGGCCTACTTAATGCTTGGTCTTCCAAGTAGGCTGTAAAATTCAACAGGGAGAACTATTCTCACTGCTGTATCCCTAGCACCTGACACAGTGCCTGACACATGACAGGCCTTAATAAATATTTCACGCAGCAGCCAGCACGACTGTTTCAATGAATAAATCTGATCACGTCACTTCCCTTCCTGAAACTCTCCAGTGGCCACCAGGAGCAAACCCCAACGTCTTGAACATGCCTCCTAGGCACACTACATGTCCCCAGACAGATCTCTTGCCATCTTGGCACATTCTCTGTCCAAGGCAGCCTTTCAGTTCTTTAAGCCCACCAAGCCGTCCGTTTCCTGAGGCCTTCGTGTGCACCACTCCCTCCGCCTATAATGTTTTTCCCCTCCCTTGTCACCAAACTAACGTCTATTTTTACTCAAGTCTCAACTTGAGGCACTTGCTCAAGGAAGACATCTCTGACCACACGGACAAATAAAGCCACGTCTCCCAATATATGTCCTCGTAGCACCTTACACCTCTTCTTCATAGCATTGTTTATAACAGTAACTTAAACAATTAAATGTCAATAACTTTTTAAAAGTCTGTAACTTCAACTGGCATCTTAGATTTGGTTATATCTGTCTCGTCCATCAGATTTTCAGCACCAGCACAGTCCCTGACTTAGAACAGATATTCCAAATGTGTCTTTTTTGAATGGTAAATAATTCTTGGAGGGACACCTGCCTAGAAGTAGGTCAAATCCTGCTGTGACATCTCCTCCACCTCCTCACCATCCCGATCCCTGCCCTGACAGGCAGCCATTCCTGTCTCTCCCCATTCCCTGACTCTCCCACCTATTGCCTGCCCTTAATGGTCATATAAAATCAAGGACATATATAGCCATTTAAGTTAAAGAGTGTGAACCAAATAGTTCAAGTTGATTGTTCTCCAGCTTAAATCGTATCTCAGTTTCCTCATGTGTATCACGGGAATGATAACAGAGCCTACTGTAGAGTGTTGTTGTGAGGGACGACTGGGAAAATGTACGCAACGAACATAGCTCAATGCCCAACATGTACTAATCGATAAGTGGTAGCTATTCTTACTGATTATTATAATTATCAATCATTCTACTTCAACCCTTTCTCTAATGTGATGTTTATGTTACCTGGTTAGAGTAAAATGATCAAATAAAATGCATTTCAGTGCACTGGACTACTCCTTCACTTTAGTCTTATACATCAGAAATGATGAAAGTAGAAATTCCATAGCAATTTACATTTGAAAGGATGGTAGATTTAGATTCAGAATTTTTAGTTGAACGTGTACTGGCCTCTGAAGCTTAGAAAACATGGGCTGTGTAATGGGTATAACAGGATTCCCATTAATTTAGCTTCCAAAATGAAAACGTGAACACGCTGACCCCCCAGTTGGAGCATCCAGCCCTGCCTGGTGCGGCCCCACTGACCTTCTCCAGCCGGTAGACAAGCTGCTTGGTGGAGAGCTGGATGAGAGGCGCGATGAACTCGCAGGTGATGTTCACGGCCATCACCAAGCTCTTCCCCTTCTGCGCCCCGATGCTGGCATGGCATACCAGCTTCTCTTTAACTATCTGCCAACGAGATATGCCAACATTTGGGGAACAACCATAACTCAGAAAACTTAATGACCTACCAAGAGCAAACTGATTTCCAACTACCTTCTCGGGGACACGAGGGAAGAGAACATTTTCTGAATAGTACATTTTGGGGATTGCTTTCTGTCACACATTCCATTCTGGTTGGTTAAATATGGCTTTAATGGATTCTGTGTTTATTTCTGACTGCCCCTGAGGACACAAACAATTTACATTCAGTTCAAAATACATACATATATATATGTGTATATATTAATATGTGTGTGTGTGTGTGTGTGTGTGTGTGTGTGTGTAGGATCTATTATGCATCGGGGCTGTGTTAGGGGCTGAGAGTACAAAACTGATAAACAAAGCAGATAAAATCCTTTGTAGGGCTCATAGTTAAATGGTAGTTATATGATTTCTTATCAAACTAGCTGAAAACTACAGTTCAAAACTTTTCACCTTTCATACTTAAATGTTTTTAAAAAATATGCATTAGAAACTAATATTTCCTTGGACCCAAGAAGCCCAGATTTTTATAAAGTAGAAAGTTCCAAAAGTGAATTTATATCACAAATAGCTTATATTGATGAGTGCTTAGGTTTGGGATGTTGATGAATCCCAGTCTCTTCTCAACTATGCAGCATGATTTGGAAGAACATTCAGGGAAGCTTTTGGTAAAGCTTAAACTGAATTTAGTCCTCAAGAAGCTCAGCTTTAGTGTCTTTAAAATATGGTCAACTCTTGATAACCACATTGTAAATATGCTCCTCCAACAGGCTGTCAGCGTCTGGAGATAAGGGGCTGTGTTCTATTCATCTTTGCATCCGCAGTGCCTAGCACGGTATTTGTTACATGGTATATACACTATAATAGTTGGCTGATAACCTGAGTAACAGAAGGAGCACATTATATACCCCATAATGAGAGATACCCTTTTTTGGGGTACTGAGGATGTATTTTACCTGAAAATGCTCTGTGAAGAAATAATGAAATAAAGTGAAATCTGCGACCTTAGAGAAGCAAAGCAATGGACTAGCTTTCCCATCGTGTCTGCTGGGAGACAAACTTCTTATTGCTTCCTATTTCATGAGGGGACAAGTCAATACTACCTAAGTGGTATTGTGTTAGTGACACAAACAGGAGCTTAAACAAGCATCATTTCTCATTAAAAAACTGCATTTGTGGGGTGGGAGAGGCGCTTACATGACTTCAAAAGTCTTTCCTTTAGGTTTTCGATGGTTTCCAAACTCCATGAAGGTATAGGAATAAAGAGACACATGGTTTGGATCTACTAAAATGTTTTAAGCAGAATGTATGGTAGTAATGTAAGTAAGAGCAGAAAATGATGGCTGCTGAAGATAAATGTCGCTCTTTCATTGACACATAAAAAGATGATGTTTTAAAATGTGACGGTGTTGTTGTCAGACTGGGAGAAACGAAACCAGGGATGTCCCAATATCTGGAAAAGAGAGGCAGTCCACAGTGTCTATAAAAATACCCTTTTTGAATAAATATTAAATTAATACTGCTAAATGTTAATAGGAGAATTTGCTTTGGCTGAAAACTGGATGTTTCTTTGCCAGAGACTTGCTAGCTGGTCACTGTCAACCCTGGGAATGAGAATCTGCTTTAAAGGGTCCTTTAAGGTTGGGTTCATGGTAGCTATAGAAACAAACAGAAAACTTAGCAGACCTGAACCTTGAAAGCCATGGATGCTGCCATGGCAACTCAGTGCTGTACACAATCCTGAGAAACCACATCCTTTCTCAGATAAATGTCAAGGGACTCTCCTAAGAAACGCATATAGCAAAGATTTATTTAGGAAAAAAAAATTGCTTCTAAATGTGCTGTCCTCTTACCCTGGGAGTCGCAGAATAGCTTTCAAGTACCACATTGATCGTCTGGCCTGGGTACAGCTCCATCCTGACGGGGTGGATCTGAAACACTGGGCTCGGTGGACCCCTGGGCTCCTGGTAGCCATTGGCCTGGAGCCGGCCCTTCTTGCTCAGCTTGCCGTGGGGACGGAAACTTTCGTTCATCCAGAACAACTGTTGGATCCGACGTCCCTTGTTGGTCAACTTAAATCGGTAATAATGGGTATCCAGGCTGGAAAAGAAGAGGCAGGTGTTGAGAGGATTCAACTTGTGGATGTTCTGTTCAGCTCTACACCCTTGGGATTTATTCCTCTGGAAGTGTTTAAAACAGTGAACAACAAAATAAGACATTCCTTTTTTAAAAATATGGGAAGGCTGCCACGATGCTACTAGGAACTAACACAGTAATGGGACAAAATAGTATCTATTCAAGGGGCTAGTAGCATTGGATTTGTGAACCTAGTTTTTTTTTTTTTAAATTTCAGAATACTACGGGGTACTAATGTTTTGGTTACATGAATTGCTTTTATACAGTTTGAGTCAAAGTTGTAAGTGTGTCCATCACCCAGATAGTGTACAATACACCTGGGTTTTGTCCCAAAGTTGCCACCACCAGGTAAGGGGCTGGGGAAAGCTCCTCTCATCCTCGTCTTCCCGGACAGGTCAAGCACACCACAGGACACACAGACACAGGTCACGTGACAAGCACGCTCATTTAAGAGAAATGGTTCTGAAAAGTGAAAGGAAAGCAAAATACCTGCTGGAGGAGAAGCATATTTCAAATTGTGTTGAGTAAATTTCTACTGACTGAGTGAAATGTCTTGCGATAATGGGCTCAATTTGAAGAGAACTTTGAAGAGAAATAGCACATATCCTCTAAGCCTTAACAAAGGTCAGGGAGACTGCAATGGGCCACTGTCTGGATTGGTCACTTTTCTTAGACAAATGTGCTTTAAAGACATTGCTAATTTCACTTACTAATTTGTTCATTAATTCATCCATTCCATAAATATTTATTAAGGACTTCCTGATTGACTGGATCTTTGCGAAAACTGAGATTTCTAAGATCTTGGAGGTGGTTCAAATGTGTTTTTGTTTGTTTGGGATTTTTTTTGTTTTATTAATTTACAGGCTTATTTTAAAGTATTTTTTTGGTGAAGGAACCTCTCTCAGGACTGCTTTTTTTCAATTTTTACTAGGCTTTGAGATTTCATTCCATCTGTTCCTCCTTAGGAAATAACATCATGTATAAGTAAGTTGAAGCATCAAATAAATAATCAGAAGGAATATTTGCCAGTTGTCAGGTACAACCATTTCTATCCAAATATGTGTCCACAGGGCATGCTCACTGGGGCATCTTTACCTGGCAGTTTAACTTTATGGCTATACTGTTTATAAACTAGGCAGGGCCTCCGTTACTTATTCACAGTGTATCTTTCAATCTTCACAGCAACCTACTCATAATAAGTATATTTGCTACCATTGTATAGATAAAGAAATAGAAGCTCTGACGCCATTCACAGTAGCAAAGGTATGGAATCAACCTAAGTGTCTACCAGCAGATGATTATATAAAGAAAATGTCATGTATATATACCATGGAATACTACTCAGCCATAAAAAAGAATCAAATCATGTCTTTTGCAGCAACATGGATGGAACTAGAGGCCATTATCTTAAGTGAATTAATTCAGAAACAGAAAGTCAAATAATGCATGTTCTCACTTATAAGTGGGAGTTAAAATGGATACACGTGGACATAGAGAGTGGAATAACAGACACTGCAGACTCTGAAGGGTGAGAGGGTGGGAGGGTTAGAGGGAGGTAGGAATTAAAAAATCACTTAATGGGTACAATATACACTATTCGGGTGATGGTTACACTATAAGCCAAGACACCACAACCACGTACTATATCCATGTAACAAAACTGCACTTGTACCTCCTAAATATATAAAAAAATTTTTTTTGAAAAAAAAAAATAGAAGCTCTGAAAATCTAAGAGAGTTGCCCCAAAATATGCAATCAGAAGGAGTGGCATATGGGTATTTCTTTAAAACAGGATTGGTAAATTTTTCTTTAAAGGTCTGAGTAAAAAATATTTTAGGTTTCTGGGGCCACATGGTCTCTCCCACAACTACTCAACTTTCCCTTGTAGTGTGAACACAGCCATAAACAATATGTAAAAGAGTGGGCATGGCTGTTCTGTTATTTACAGAAACAGGCAGTGGGCTGTAGTTTACCTAGCCCTGCTTTTGACAATCCTTCTGGAGCTTGCTGGCATCATGATTTTATGTCAAAAAGAATAACAATAGGGTTTAGGCAGAGGTTAAAGTTACAGTTTCCTTTTATATTTATAGATGACTGTTAGCTAACCCTCCAATTTCAGGCAAATGTCAGACTATCGTTTGGAGGTTATTTGACACTATTTGCAGATTAAGAAGAACATGTAATTAAGTCTGGTTTGCAGTGTATTGTTTTCTATAATTATATTTGAGTGCATTGAAAGAAATTTGAAAATAGAAGCAGTGGTATGCAATGACAAAATACCCTAGCTTACAGCCAGTAGACAGGCAGAGAGGAGGATTTTTATATCTAGTTGACTCAAAAAATATAATTGGATATTTGTCTGAAAGCATGCAGTTCAACTGCCTGACTTGCCTGTTACTTAAGTCTCTATTGGTTCAAAGTATTGTCAATCAATTCCCATGTTTTGTAGATGGAATGAAGGAAAGGAGGCGTGGGTGGGATTGTGGGGAGGCTCCTGATGATTAGTGTCAGTCGCATCTTCTCGAAGCACAGTGCATCTGACTTGGTTTCAGGGCCTGTTAGGCTAGAAGGCAGGAGGAGCACCTCTGAGATCTGTTCACAGTACTGCGACAGGTACAAATTCAACTGGCCCCCAAGAATCACTAGTGATAACTGTATGACTGTCCTGAGGACCTAGGAATAAGTCCCCACACATATCCTCTATCCTCTATCTCCACATTTAGATTGTTCTGCTCAGAGGTATCTCTATTTACTACCTCTTACAGAAAAATTTAGGTCTTCTAGCCTTTCCTGGGTGATCAGGGGAAGCCAACTGCAACCATCTCAGTTGTTGGTGCTACAGTGGGGAGGCAAACAGAGGACATAATACCCAAAAAAGCTACTGGCTTTGTAACACCTGATAAAATACATTTGCAATAATTTTTATTAATACCTTCCTATGTATATCCTACTTAGGTTACCACTAAGATGTATCTGTATTTTCTACATTCATGGAGAGGGATGAGTAGCATATTGGAATCAAAGAGGAGAATCATGGTTGAAATTCTAAATTCATCACAAATAAACCACTCTAAGTTTGAGAGAAGAATGCACTTCCTACAAACCGTCTCTTTCTCTGATGTACAGGAACACAGATTGGAGAATGTCACAAAGTTCTGACTAGTAAATGTCTTCTTGGGGCTGGTGTACCCATCGGGAGTGTGAAGTAAGAACGGGAAAGGAGAGGGACCGAGGAGGCTAGTTCTATTTACTCAAAAACATTTTTCCAAAGTAGAAGTGATATTCAGCTTATGCAACATATATTATATCTATAAAAACTGGTCGATGATATTTCCGTACCTAAAATGTGCCCCCAAATTGAGTTCTGGAGCAAAGGGCTTATCTGAAACAATGGTAGAACCAATTCCAGAAGCTTGGACCGGAATCTGATAGGTGTTGCTATTTTCAATGTCCAAAATAACTGTGTCCTTGAATGTCAGTATGTCATTCAGGTTGGCAGTCAGGGACAGTTGAACCTCAGTTTCCGGTGGAACCATGCCTTCGTTGGGTTCAATCGTCCAAAGGGATTTTTTGTGTGCCTGCAACACAAGACTGCAAGTTAACAGGGAAGATATTCTTGGCTTTTCATTCTACACATGTCAAAGCCCTCTATACTTCAAATGGTTGGCACCGTGGAATTCAACATAAGAGACAAATATTATTTTTTTGAATCAAAGCAGCTGGATGCTTGTTGGCTTTTCCTTTTTCAAAAGGCAATCTGATTCTGAAGGGCAAACCTATAATTTTACTTTCGAATGCTCTGTGAAGATTCTTTGCCTCTCTTTCCCAAGATGACAACCCAGTTCTCCAACAGTCTTATAGTAATTATCTGCTCTAATCTACAAATTCTGAGATACTAACAGAAGGTACAACATTCTTTATGGAGTTTGAAAATTTTCAAAGAAACATTTTGCAAATGCAAAATTTCTAGTGTTATAGTGAGGACTAGCAGTCTTCATTAATAAACATAATAAAGGAAGTCACACTGATTTCTGCTATTTCATAATAATTAATGAAATTTCATTAGCTAAAATTCCAAACTTATTTTGAAATATAATCATGCATCGCTTAACGATGGGGAAATGTTCTGAGAAATGTGTTGTTAGGTGATTTCGCCATCGTATGAACATCATAGAATGTACTTACCCAAATGTACATGGTGTAGCCTATTACATGCCTAGGCTGTATGGTATAGCCTATTGCTCTGAGGCTACAAACCCACACAGCATGTTACTGTACTGAATACTGTAGATAACTGTAGCACAGTGGGAAGTATTTGTGTATATAAACACATCCAAACACAGAAAAGGTACAGTAAAAATATGGTATTATAATCTGTAGGACCACCAGTGGGTCCCGATGGTCACACTCTTAGGAACAGGCTCATAGGTACTTAAATAAGGAGAATCTAATATTTAAAACAAAATGTCAATTTCCCAATTTACAATTGAGGACAAATCCTGTTACACAGACCAGAAAACATTTCCTCCTGGTTTGAAAGTCTCCATAGGAAATAAGTAAATTTCATTTCAAAATTTAAATAAATTAAAGCAAAGAAGAACGTTTTCAAGATTATAAGTTGTATATAATGAAGATGTAGATGAATGATAATAAGGAAATTTTATTTTAATTTTAGTATTAATGGAAATTATAGATTTAACTCTAAGAGTCCTATTATTACTCATGATCTTTGAATATGGAAAATTTCTAGAGACATATAAATAGAAGAAAACAATTAAACATTAAATATCACACTAGATAAAACTAGGGCCTGGAAGGAGATATTTGTATAATTGCCTCAATTCAAAGGAAACTTGTGGGAAAAAATGCTGAATCTTGCACGACACAATCTGTTTTTCACAATTTTCTCTGTAACTTTCTTACTCATAGTAACTTATTTTTAAGCAGAGTACCGAAATATTAATAAAACAGTAAGCTAAGTTTCTGTTTTTCCAGAGCATTAATCTGTATGTTTATAATTTTGCATTAAAATATTAGTAAAAAATAAACTAATAAATTTTTCAGGACTGTAGATCAATTTTTATTGGCAAGAGAAACTACAAGGATTGAGTGTCACAATACTCTGCTCATATTTAGGTTGAAAGAAATAATTTATAACACATCTTTTAATTTATCCAAAAATTTTTCAACTGTCCCAAAGTGAAAACCCTAAAATCCTCTAACACAATCACAGAAAATGACACAAAAATGAGTTCTAAAAGAGCTATACATGCAAATTCAATTTTCTATGGGTATTTAAAAATGGATTAAGGCAGCTTCATTTCATATCTACTATAATATAAATAGTAGATAGGAGTCTTTGCTTTATATCATTTTCAGTCTGCCCTATACCATTAAAGCAATAATGGAAATAGATTTCTCATGCTTGAGTAACCAGCCCGTCTCCTTTCTTAGAACTAGTTTTCTTACTTCCAGTTTTTAGATTCTAGGCTATTATTTTAGATAAGGTAATGATAGCTACCATGACAGAAAGGCCCTGACACTCAGTGGCTTACTACAATAGCAGCTTATTTCTGGCTCACATGAATTCCAACTGGTGATAGAAACAAGGATGGGCTTCTGTTCCATTTAGTCATTCAAGGACCCCAGATAAACAGAGTCTGACATATTTAACTTGTGGCTTCTAAGGACACTCTGGAGTTTGATATCCAGTTGGCCAGTAAGAGATGGAAAAGGATGGAGGGTCACATGCTAGGATTTTGTGTGCCAAGTGCAGAAGTGGTGCACGTTACTTCTGCCCACTTCCACTTGCCAGATCCGTCATGCAGCCACACCTAACCCCAGAGAATGCTGGGAAATGCAGTCTACTTCTACTCAGTCCAGAGTAAAGGGAGATGAGTATAGTGAGCTGCTAGTTGCTCTCTGTCAAAGCTACCTTGTTGGTTCACTCTACTGCCACATCCTTGGGGCTTTCCCCAACTCTCGCAGATCCTAGATTTTGGAAGGTGAAGAGCTAACTCCATCAGAACACAGAAATGGAAGAGTGACTTGGTATTTCAATTCTATGGGAATTGCAGGCCCAGAATTCAGATCCATCTGCTATTAGGACAAATGGAGGGGTAGCTAGAGAGAAAATAAGAAAGTTCTAGGCAAGAAGATCGCACTCTGTTGACTCTTCTTCCCAAATTTGTGGCCGGAAAGCATCCTATATAGTTTTGCTCATTTATCAGACTCAGCTTACAATTAAAACATAAATCAACGTCATTTTTTGTCCTTCTCTTATCAAAAAGCAAAATGCCTTTCAGAGAGGGTACTGTCAATGTCATCTTTCCCATTCCAACCATTTGTCTTCCTCCTGTAGTTGGTAGCACAGGACAGTCCTCTGTTCACAATGAAGTGAGGATGTCACCAGCATAAGTGCTATTTCAAGTCAGGGGACATTAGTTTTCAACAGATGCATACCATTTCTATTCTGTTTCTTGCTGACACAGGTTGGCTGATCTGGAAAGAAGACCTGAAGTTGCTCTCCAAGGCTGAACTGTTGAGTTTTCTTTTTGATGAAGCTTATTAATCAGTGCTTGGCATGAAAGCAGACAGCAAAATATATCATAGAATCCAAGAACAAAGAACATTAAAATGCCAGATGCTAAGGTACTGGACTATCCTTACCAAAAGTCAGGCTCTAAACTGCTCTAAAACCCTTGTGTCTCTTTGGTATTTGACTTTTAGGAGTGTCCTTTGCTTTCAGGGAGGACTTGGTCTGCGTGACATTTTCTGTTATTAGATGGCAAGTTTGGCTAAAGAAGAAATGGATGAGTGGATAATCATCATAGCTATGGAGGACATTTTGTATCCTTTTCAAAACCACAGTACAGCAAGATAACAGCTAATGGAAATAGGTTAGGAGGGAGTGCTCTGAGGGAAAAGGAATGTGGGTTTGAGTCCCTGTCACGTCTCTTAACCACGCCTGGTTTCAGTGTTCTCATCTGTAGCTCAGGATAGGGACTGTACCTTCCGTACAGAGTTGTGGTGATGGAGAAATGAGATCATGCGTGCAAAAGCTCAGCACAGTGTCTGGCACATAGCAAGTCCTCATGAACCTCAGCTACTGTCATCATTTCACCAAACTCTGAAATGCCCCACATGACACATTATTATGGGCTCAGTAATATTTGCTAAATAAAAAGATTATGAAACTCAGAAAACAAAGATGAATGCTAAGAACGCATTTAACGTACAAGACTCTTGCCAGAAGAGAAGAAGCCTATGGAGGTCCATGGTAGGCAGAATTCTCCCATTCAAGTACTAACCAGGCCCAACCTTCATTAGCTTCCGAGATCATTCGAGATTGGGTGCGTTCAGGGTGGTATGGCCATAGACAGGTAGGCAGAATTCTAAGATGGTCCCCAAGATCTCCAACTCCCAGAGAACAATGATCTCCCAGTTATTTAGTCAAACACTAATCTTGATGCTGCTGTGAAGGGATTTTGCAGATGCCGTTAAGGTCCCAAACCAGCTGGCTTTAAGATAGGGAGATAATCTGCAGTGGGCCTGACTTAATTAGACTGGGCTCTTCCTAGTGAAGATTCCAAGCATGAGAGGGCCTCGGGAGGGGGCCGCATGGTGGGGAACTGTGGTGGCTCCACAGCAGCCGAGAGCAGTCCCTGGCTGCCAGCCACTAAGAAAACGGGGCTTCAGTCATTCAGCTGCCTGGAAAGAAATTCTGCCAGCAACATGGGGGGACCTCGTAGTGGATTTTTTCTAAAAGGAATGTAGCTCAGCTAACACCCTGATTTCAGCTTTTTTGAGACCCTAAGGAGGGAATCCAGGCAGACCATGCCTAGACCCCTGACCCATGGAAACTGAAATAAACTACTTTTAAGTTATTCCATTTGTGGTAATTTGTTACCCAGCAATAGAAACCTAACACAGGATTCCATATATTTGTTTCGAAGATGATAAAAATGGGACCTCCTAGGCCTCCCATTAAAACTTCAGCAATAGCTGCTTTTGCTTTTTCTGCGAATTACAGCTAGAAAGCCAGAGTCATTTCAGCAGCTCATAAACACGTACAGGAGGTGTGTGCGTGCACGCAGGGGATATGACTGTGCGGAAGACAGAAAATTTGTGATCTTTTGCAATTCAGAATTCCGTGCCCACTGGTGATTAGCATTAAGCCCTCCTCGCTGAGGTCTCACATATCTAAAGATAACATTTGCTTTTTATTTGACAATAGGGCATCGGCACACTTCTTATGCGGTGCTCAGCTCCCAAGGTTTTAGCCAGAGCTCTTTTTTTATAAGTTTCCTTATCGTGTATTTAATATTTGCCACGAAAGGCAGATGTGAACGTCATTGTTTGCACATGTCACCTCAACAATCACTGAGAGTGTGAATACGCTTGGACAGACCTGCTATTCTGTAGTGCTAATGACTATGAACTTGAAGAAAATAGCACCATGTACTTTTCTTCAAAATAGCTCGTTTGCCAATTGAAATCTACAAGAATTTCCTTCCACGAAATGGGAGGAGGCAAATAACAGGAGCCAACGAGCAGAGTGAGGGCTTCTTTGGATTTA